GCGAATATGCACGTGTCCGCATCCGCGCGCTTACTGACAGGAGCGTTCTCACGGGAGCGGCAGCCTGTTCAAATGTGCACCAAATATGAATGTTCCATGGCAGCCTGTTCAAATGTGCACCTTTTTTCTCGTTGTTAAAATAAGAATGTCCATAACACTGCATTTTGTAGATGTAAAGCCCTGTGTGATTTTTTTGGGGTTTTTTTCCTGTTAAAATGTTCTAATAAAGGGGAAAAAAATACTGCAATATCTTGTGTGCTGTAAAGTGGTTTGAAAAAAAATTAAATCGGAATCGGCCGTCCAAACACTTTGCAAATCAGAAATCGGTATCGGCCCAAAAAATTGTAATCGGTGCAAGCCTAGTAAGAATCAAGTCAATTAAGGTGGACTTCTCATTACATTTGAGATTTGGACGAGTGGGTGAGTTAATCAGCTGGGTAAGATTGACAGAATCACAAAAGGATTTGAACTCATCAGATACTGGCTTAAGCCAATCCCAATTTAGATCACCAGCTAAAACAAGTTCATTGTACTTTAGTCTTGATAAAAGGTGTGACAAGGAGTTGATCTGAGGTGCCCAATTTTCCGCCTTGTAGGGTAGTCATATTCACAGAACCTTTTTGGTTTAAAAAGACCGAGGTGGCTTTCCACCAAGGGAGGGGCTGTTGATGATGCCGCAAGTGCGAGCCACTGGCGGTGGATAAACAGGAAACAGCTGATAGCAGGAATTAGCGAGCAGCTAGTAGCAAGAGGGAAACACAAACCTGACAGACACTGTAAAGATGAACAACTGGGGAGACAAGGAATTGCGCGCCCTCCTTGTCCTCACAAACGAAGAGGCCATTAACTGTCAGATGACGGGGACGGTGAAGAACGGGCCGACTTATGAGAGAATCACTGAAGGACTGACCAGCCGTGGCTTCCCTCCCACGTCACTGTTTACGTCACACGCTGAGCTACACGTTTTGTTACTTGCTCACGCCCCCCATTGCCCTGAAAAAAAACGCATTCTGTATGAACAAAAGTAGGTAGGCGGCATTTTGCTGCACTCCCCGATTTTGTTTTTATACTGCCAATGCTGAAAAAAGACTGATTGGGCTTTCCTGCAAATTTGCACAACTCCTGTTTAAAAAGGGCTTATGACTACATCTTAAAAGCTCTAAAATACTATTTTAATCATAAAAAAAAACATTAAAATAAAAAACAAAAACCTAAAATGACAACTCGAGATTTACAAACAATAAATCAAGAATTAATTGTTTTACTCACCAACAACAAGCTCAATGTGGAATGTATGACGTGGCTGAAGACGTGGAAAATCACAGGTGTAGTTTCCGCTGTAAGTCACCTTCGTATTTCTGATGATGATGGAGGCGTTGCCGTGCCGCAGTTCATCTTGAAAATGGAAGACTTGATCTTTGAACTCCTCACTCTGACCTGATCGCCCGCTGTTGTAAGTGATGCCTGCATCATAAAAGAACACCTCCTTCGTTTTTCCGTCTTTCTGAGCAGCTTTCTTCCAGTCAAACAGTTTTGAATGAAGGTCCTCCTTGGTGCTGAGGGAACAGGGTAACACAGCATCACTCCCTTCTTTGACGACCACTGTGACGTCACCTGACCCTGAAAGATGAAGCATATTTTAATCATTATGTTTAAACAGAGAAAGTCAGGTCAGGCAGAAAATCTGATAAACTCAATTGAACACAGGGCTCAGTGTGAGTGAAGCATCAGTAGATCACAGAGTGTTTCCTGTTGTTTGAATTTCACGAAATATCTTTCACTTTGTAAACCCACTTTAACAGCATCCTCTCAGACAGACCATAAACTTGAAGTGCTTTGACATCCTCTGACTTAATTAGTGGCCACAGCAGAGCTTTGTCCAAGTAAACTGATCTTCAATATTTTGCTCATTTTCAAATTGTTCTTCCAACAAATCCTTTGCTTTGTTATATTCTCTGTCTGCAACCATTTGTTAACCCCCTCTGACAAAAGCTCTTGTTATCAGGTTGGCTCAGCTTGTGATTTCAATATTTTTCTTTGATTTTCGGTGTGATTTTGAATTCAGTCCTCAGTGGGTTGATGACTTTGGTTTCCACTGACTGTTATTACGTCATTTCGTTCTCAACAAAATATCCAATGTTTGTCGTACTAGATTTTTAACTTGAATAATTCATTTATCAAGATCTGATGTTCCCTTATTTTTTGAGCAGTGTAAATATGATGCATTAATAAACACCGAGTTTCAAATTCAGTTTGGAGTTGATCCAGTTAATCACAGTAGTTTACAGCTATCAGGGAGGAGTCAGCAGCAGCAACTGGTTAAAAGCAGCTGAGGCCTCTTACAGCTGCAGCAGTGTGGCAGTACACTAAATAAATGGAATATACAGAGCTGCTTCATTGTGTCAGGTGAACGTCTGTTTGCTAGTTTGTGTGTGAGGTGGATCATAGCGCATCACTGTTCTTCTCTGTAGTTGTAGTCTATTGTGTGTCATTGAGACAGAGCCTGGATGCAGGCGACAGACGTTTCATATACAAGACATATATAACACAGACAAAGTGTCTCTGGCTCCGTCCCTCCCTCGACCTCTCTGTTGATACTCTCTGCATAAAGAAGATTAATAGCCTAAATAAATAAAAATATTTAAAAATCACTTTCAAGCCTAACTTGTGACATCTCAAATGTGGTTTTGACTTGCATCTGAACATTAAGCCCATTGCGGAAAAAAATGGCGAGATATACTTTGTGCACCACAACTCAGCCTGAAAATACAGAATTTCTGTCCATATCGCCCAGCCCTATTTAGTGTAACGGTACTACTAGTCTGTTTCAAATGAAGCTGGGAGCCTCTGCAGTTGTGGTGAGTAAAAGCCTCTATTTTTTTAATTTTCTTACTTGATGTCCATCTCCGTTATGAAGAAATAACATTGTTTGCTAGTTTGATGCTAATGACAGTAACGTTAACTCAGCGGGTTGACAAAGTGCCTCTGCTGTTTCACACCATCATTTTCCCCTTTTACTCTGTGTGGTAACATCCTTAGAGGAAATATTAAAAAGGCTGGGGTGTTGTTGCCCTACAGTTGTCTATGGCAGCAGATAACTCTGTGTTTCTACTGGTCAAAGTGACGGCTGTGATGGGAGTAATCGTGAACGACAAAGAAAATCAAACATGCTAGACTTTCTGTTAGAAAGTACATTGTGCTCTTTATTTTATTGTTTTTCGAAATAAAACTTGGTTAAATGATTTCAGTGTGTGTAAGTACTTTTTGAACATTTTGAGCACATTTCAACAATACCTCGATAATAGTGATAACCGTGATAATTTTGGTCCCAATAACCATTATATGAAATTTTCATACAGTCACATCTCTAGAATACACTCTCCACCTACTGTCCTCTCACTGCATCGTGTATGACAGTTGCAATCGTCATTGCGTTGTACATGTACAGTGACAATAGAGATATCTGTCTATCTAAATCAGTAGAGTTGTTCCACTTAATCACAGCAGTGTAGAACAAGCAGGGAAAAGTCAGCAGCAACATGCTTAAAGCAGCTGAGACCTTCTTACAGTGTCTAAACCAGTGACTATATTCTATTTATTTATTTATTTANATCAGAAGAGAGAATGAGAAAGTTGTTAATTGTCTGTGTTAAACTTTACGGAGCAGAGTGGAGCGGAGCTCTCACTGCCGCACGGTGCCGCTTGAAACTAACTAGGCGCTTGTCCACATGGCGAATATGCACGTGTCCGCATCCGCGCGCTTACTGACAGGAGCGTTCTCACGGGAGCGGCAGCCTGTTCAAATGTGCACCAAATATGAATGTTCCATGGCAGCCTGTTCAAATGTGCACCTTTTTTCTCGTTGTTAAAATAAGAATGTCCATAACACTGCATTTTGTAGATGTAAAGCCCTGTGTGATTTTTTGGGGGTTTTTTTCCTGTTAAAATGTTCTAATAAAGGGGAAAAAAATACTGCAATATCTTGTGTGCTGTAAAGTGGTTTGAAAAAAAATTAAATCGGAATCGGCCGTCCAAACACTTTGCAAATCAGAAATCGGTATCGGCCCAAAAAATTGTAATCGGTGCAAGCCTAGTAAGAATCAAGTCAATTAAGGTGGACTTCTCATTACATTTGAGATTTGGACGAGTGGGTGAGTTAATCAGCTGGGTAAGATTGACAGAATCACAAAAGGATTTGAACTCATCAGATACTGGCTTAAGCCAATCCCAATTTAGATCACCAGCTAAAACAAGTTCATTGTACTTTAGTCTTGATAAAAGGTGTGACAAGGAGTTGATCTGAGGTGCCCAATTTTCCGCCTTGTAGGGTAGTCATATTCACAGAACCTTTTTGGTTTAAAAAGACCGAGGTGGCTTTCCACCAAGGGAGGGGCTGTTGATGATGCCGCACGTGCGAGCCACTGGCGGTGGATAAACAGGAAACAGCTGATAGCAGGAATTAGCGAGCAGCTAGTAGCAAGAGGGAAACACAAACCTGACAGACACTGTAAAGATGAACAACTGGGGAGACAAGGAATTGCGCGCCCTCCTTGTCCTCACAAACGAAGAGGCCATTAACTGTCAGATGACGGGGACGGTGAAGGACGGGCCGACTTATGAGAGAATCACTGAAGGACTGACCAGCCGTGGCTTCCCTCCCACGTCACTGTTTACGTCACACGCTGAGCTACACGTTTTGTTACTTGCTCACGCCCCCCATTGCCCTGAAAAAAAACGCATTCTGTATGAACAAAAGTAGGTAGGCGGCATTTTGCTGCACTCCCCGATTTTGTTTTTATACTGCCAATGCTGAAAAAAGACTGATTGGGCTTTCCTGCAAATTTGCACAACTCCTGTTTAAAAAGGGCTTATGACTACATCTTAAAAGCTCTAAAATACTATTTTAATCATAAAAAAAAACATTAAAATAAAAAACAAAAACCTAAAATGACAACTCGAGATTTACAAACAATAAATCAAGAATTAATTGTTTTACTCACCAACAACAAGCTCAATGTGGAATGTTTGACGTGGCTGAAGACGTGGAAAATCACAGGTGTAGTTTCCGCTGTAAGTCACCTTCGTATTTCTGATGATGATGGAGGCGTTGCCGTGCCGCAGTTCATCTTGAAAATGGAAGACTTGATCTTTGAACTCCTCACTCTGACCTGATCGCCCGCTGTTGTAAGTGATGCCTGCATCATAAAAGAACACCTCCTTCGTTTTTCCGTCTTTCTGAGCAGCTTTCTTCCAGTCAAACAGTTTTGAATGAAGGTCCTCCTTGGTGCTGAGGGAACAGGGTAACACAGCATCACTCCCTTCTTTGACGACCACTGTGACGTCACCTGACCCTGAAAGATGAAGCATATTTTAATCATTATGTTTAAACAGAGAAAGTCAGGTCAGGCAGAAAATCTGATAAACTCAATTGAACACAGGGCTCAGTGTGAGTGAAGCATCAGTAGATCACAGAGTGTTTCCTGTTGTTTGAATTTCACGAAATATCTTTCACTTTGTAAACCCACTTTAACAGCATCCTCTCAGACAGACCATAAACTTGAAGTGCTTTGACATCCTCTGACTTAATTAGTGGCCACAGCAGAGCTTTGTCCAAGTAAACTGATCTTCAATATTTTGCTCATTTTCAAATTGTTCTTCCAACAAATCCTTTGCTTTGTTATATTCTCTGTCTGCAACCATTTGTTAACCCCCTCTGACAAAAGCTCTTGTTATCAGGTTGGCTCAGCTTGTGATTTCAATATTTTTCTTTGATTTTCGGTGTGATTTTGAATTCAGTCCTCAGTGGGTTGATGACTTTGGTTTCCACTGACTGTTATTACGTCATTTCGTTCTCAACAAAATATCCAATGTTTGTCGTACTAGATTTTTAACTTGAATAATTCATTTATCAAGATCTGATGTTCCCTTATTTTTTGAGCAGTGTAAATATGATGCATTAATAAACACCGAGTTTCAAATTCAGTTTGGAGTTGATCCAGTTAATCACAGTAGTTTACAGCTATCAGGGAGGAGTCAGCAGCAGCAGCTGGTTAAAAGCAGCTGAGGCCTCTTACAGCTGCAGCAGTGTGGCAGTACACTAAATAAATGGAATATACAGAGCTGCTTCATTGTGTCAGGTGAACGTCTGTTTGCTAGTTTGTGTGTGAGGTGGATCATAGCGCATCACTGTTCTTCTCTGTAGTTGTAGTCTATTGTGTGTCATTGAGACAGAGCCTGGATGCAGGCGACAGACGTTTCATATACAAGACATATATAACACAGACAAAGTGTCTCTGGCTCCGTCCCTCCCTCGACCTCTCTGTTGATACTCTCTGCATAAAGAAGATTAATAGCCTAAATAAATAAAAATATTTAAAAATCACTTTCAAGCCTAACTTGTGACATCTCAAATGTGGTTTTGACTTGCATCTGAACATTAAGCCCATTGCGGAAAAAAATGGCGAGATATACTTTGTGCACCACAACTCAGCCTGAAAATACAGAATTTCTGTCCATATCGCCCAGCCCTATTTAGTGTAACGGTACTACTAGTCTGTTTCAAATGAAGCTGGGAGCCTCTGCAGTTGTGGTGAGTAAAAGCCTCTATTTTTTTAATTTTCTTACTTGATGTCCATCTCCGTTATGAAGAAATAACATTGTTTGCTAGTTTGATGCTAATGACAGTAACGTTAACTCAGCGGGTTGACAAAGTGCCTCTGCTGTTTCACACCATCATTTTCCCCTTTTACTCTGTGTGGTAACATCCTTAGAGGAAATATTAAAAAGGCTGGGGTGTTGTTGCCCTACAGTTGTCTATGGCAGCAGATAACTCTGTGTTTCTACTGGTCAAAGTGACGGCTGTGATGGGAGTAATCGTGAACGACAAAGAAAATCAAACATGCTAGACTTTCTGTTAGAAAGTACATTGTGCTCTTTATTTTATTGTTTTTCGAAATAAAACTTGGTTAAATGATTTCAGTGTGTGTAAGTACTTTTTGAACATTTTGAGCACATTTCAACAATACCTCGATAATAGTGATAACCGTGATAATTTTGGTCCCAATAACCATTATATGAAATTTTCATACAGTCACATCTCTAGAATACACTCTCCACCTACTGTCCTCTCACTGCATCGTGTATGACAGTTGCAATCGTCATTGCGTTGTACATGTACAGTGACAATAGAGATATCTGTCTATCTAAATCAGTAGAGTTGTTCCACTTAATCACAGCAGTGTAGAACAAGCAGGGAAAAGTCAGCAGCAACATGCTTAAAGCAGCTGAGACCTTCTTACAGTGTCTAAACCAGTGACTATATTCTATTTATTTATTTATTTAACCCATATTTAACCAGGTCAGTCCTGTTGAGACTAACAATCTCTTTTACAGGGCAGACCTGGCCAAGACAGTAGCACACAAACAGTTACAGCCCATCAACCACACAATAAAAACATTTAAGATATACAGTAAAGTTGAAATATTAGATCACCAATGACCAACCGACTCATTCATCATTGTACTAACGAGAGACCAGTTCACCTAGCTTTAACTCTTGTTGAAGGTTATTCCAAGTGAGAGGAGCAGAGCACATGAAGGCTTTCTTCCCGAGCTCAGTCTGAGCACCAGACTTTAAACCACCTGAAACACGCTGTTGTAAATATGATGCTCCCCCACAACATGAACACACAGATACAGTGAAACACCGTCTGAATATATATATTTAACCTCTTCAACAGCACAAACTCTCCAACAGTAATAAAACAAAGTTCTTGGACTGAGCTGACAAAATGATGATGAACCTCTAAATGACCCAGGAAGACTGTGTGTCCTGTAACGTTACACAGATGAAGCTAGTTAGCTAACGTTAACTGTTACCTTGGTTTGAGCAGGTGAAACGGTGTCTTCAAGCTAACTACCACTGATAAACTGACGTTACATATAAAGCTTTAGCTTTCTTACCGTGTGCAAGTATTATTCCAGCCACAGCCAGCAGACAGAGACTCAAGAATGGGAACTTCAGAGCTTTAACACGAAGACCTGACATGTTTCCAAACAAACTGACGGATGGTGCTGTGCTGCTATTAGCTAACTGTGAGGAGCTAACTTAGCCAACTGACGGAGTTGAAAGAAACCGACAGTAGATATCTCTTGAACACTTGTACAACGAAATGCAAAACTATATACGACTAGTGATGTTATGATCGAGCCAGTTTGCTCTTCTTCTTCTTCTTCCGCTCCTTCTTCTTCTTCTTCTTCTTCTGTTTGGTTTTACGGCGGTTGGCAACCAACTTACTGGAGCATTACCGCCACCCTCTGGACTGGAGTGTGAACAGGAGAGTAGCAGGAAACAAAATCAAAAAAAAAAAAACAAAAAAAAAAAAACACCCATTTAAATCCTTCGTTCCAGCCCTGTCTCTCTTAAAAATACCAATACCCTTCCATACATCTTGGATGATTCATTGAGGATGCTCTCTAAGGAAAAACATACTCTTGCTTGCTTTGCTGCCTCCTTTATTTTCTTCCTCTCCTCCTCATATGCTGGACACAACAATAAAACATGTTCTACAGATTCCAATTCCCCACAACACTCACACTTTCCTGTTTGATGTGTTGTTGTTGTTTTTTTTCTACCAAGCTTTATTTCAGAAAACAGCGTGTACAAAACAAGCAGAGTGTGTTCAACAAGCAATTCAATCAAGGGGTACAAGAAAACAATTTGGGCTGGATCAGTGTCCTGGCAGCAGAAGAGGTTGTAGTAGGGAGGAATGGGGGGAAAAAGGGGAGGGTTTTTGTTTTTGTTTTTACTGATTTGGGTGTAGGCCTACAACACATGTAAGCTAAATACTGTTCATTGTGACACAGCTGAGGTTAACAAGTTTAACTGCTTTTAATCCAAACAAAAAGTAGCACTGATTCAAGGTGAAGATGTTATTTTCCGAAAAAAACAAAAAACAAAAAAAAACACCCTTTTGTTTATGAGCATTTCTCACATTATAAGAATGTTATGCAGAAAACAAACAAACAAACAAACAGATATGAGGTCAGGGATGATCAGTGGGCCTACATTAAAGCAAATGTGCTTATTTAAAGGTCTCATATTGTGAGAGGTCAGTTTTCCATGTCTTTTTACAAATAAAGCAGGTTTAGGCTCAGTTTGATAAAACTGCTCAATGTCCCACTTTGGTACAAATGAAATATAATTCATGTTAGCTGACATCTCTGAGCATGTTCCTGTCACTACAAGAAAAACCCCACTGTAACTGTCACAGCGTCTCTGTAAATATGGTCTGGTGTTAGGAAAAGTACGGATGGCAGATTGGCTCTCTCCTTGACCCAGTGTCTCCAGCCACCTCTTCTCCCCATCCAGCATGCACGATTCTTTTGATATTTGGAGAAGGAATGGCAGAGGAAATAAATTTAAGTTACCACATTCTTATTTCTGCAGATTCCTCCAAGTTCATAGTTCATTGACAGATATTCAGTGACAGATATTTTAAAATGGAAATTCACCCAGATCCTTTGAAGGAATTTTTAGCATAGCAGGAGAGTAAAATAAGAATCTTTCAGGATCTAATCTCAAAATAGTGAAATTTGTCACTTTATTAGCACAGAAATGAATCCTTCTCCAGTGGAAGAACCCTCATCCACCCAGCTGGACTCAGTGGATGCTTGGTTAGGAACCATCTGTTGTACTTTTTCGGTTCACTATATAGAGTATAATAATTCCCACTATACATTCGGACTGCACTACAAAATGGCTCAGTCACTATATAATGGACTATATGGTGAGTGGTAAGTGATGTCAGACACAGCCATTGTCTACAGAGCAGCTCCAGACTTTATACAGGTTCCAGACTAACTTCTCTGGTTTCTGTCTTTAATAGAGAGCAGCTCATGTTCACAAATATTGATTAAACACTTCTAGGTCATGGAAATAACATATTGGAATTAGTAATTTAGGGGGTATTCCCCTTCAAACCTGAGAGCTGCTTTCTCAATTTTCACACGGCCATCTTCAAAGACTAATAACTGCAACACAGTACAAACAGTTTAGATGAATGAAATTAAATGCTAACTGTTCTCAACAGCACCACTGGCCGGTGAAGCTGTAATGTTGTACAGGAATTAATCATTTTTTTAAAGCTAAAAATCCAAACATTTACTTGTTTCATGCTTCTTAAATATGAGAATTTTTGTAACTGTCTGAGACATTTTTGACTAACATATTGAAATGCTTTTTTATATTTTCTGTCATGATTTCATTAATGTTTTGAGAAGTGATTACAAATGTAAGAAACAGGAAGCTAAAAAGGCAACTTTAATAAATCACATGACTAGTTCAGCGGTCACACCTGTTGCATTATGGGCTGAGGCAGGATGACGGCAGAGAGCCAACGTGGCTACAGAGCACACATGGTTGCAAAGGAAGAACATACAGCCCCTAAATGTAAAACATTTGTTTAAGTGGCCTGTATGGACAATTTAATATTTTGTTGCCGCGCCAACTTTGTGGGACCTGTCTATTGTCGGGCACGTCTAAATGCTGGACATTTGTTGAGAGACTCTGAAAGTAATTAAAGAATTTGTGTATTTCAAACCTTGTTTTTATGTTTTTTTATTTTGTAGTTTTCATGGCGTCTGCAGAGGACTGAAGGATGGAAATAAATCAAAGACATTTGTATGTTGCATGGACATTATTTCCTTGGACCTGTGTAGTCACATGATACACTGCTTTTTAATACATGATAAACTGAATAGCTTTGGATCTTCAGTTTGTTGGTCAGATAAAATATCTGAAGATCTCTGGCTCTGGTAAAAATTACACGGGCATGTTTCACTAGTTTCTGATATTTTAAAGATAAAACAAATAACTGAGAAGATAATGGAAAGATGAATCATTAATGAAAGTAATTATTATTTGCAGCCCTGTCTACTTCTTTCACCACTGACTATCTGTAATAGGACACTAACTCAGGGGGGAAAGGTGACAGGAAGGGATATTTCTTTTTCTGAGGGTGTGTGAGGTTTTACGGAAACAAGACAAGAGCTAATACTGTAAACATCAGCATAATGAGTCAGAACTACAGGGATCTTATGACAAACTACGTCACGCTGTACATATACATTCACACATATCTACATAGCTACACTGCAACTGTAACTGTAACTCAAAGTCAGTCAAACTCCTGGGATATCAACCTGTCCAGTTAGGAAACAGTACTGATTGTAAATCAATTTCACCTGCTGTTGTGCAAATTGGACAGACAACAGGTGGAAAGGAGAGGCAGTTACCAAGACAACCCTTATTTAGGAATGGTTCTCTGCATCCTTTCTGGTTGATTCTTGGCTAGTTTTGCATTTTTCCAGTGCCCTCACCACTAGTGGTGACACATCGCAACACAGACTGTCAAGGAGCTGACTGATGCCCTGATCCAGGTCTGGGAGGAGATCCCCTGGAGACCATCCGTCGTCTCATCAGGAGCATGCTCAGATGCTGTAGGGAATGTATACAGGCACGTGGAGACCACACACACTCCTGAGCCACATGATGAGTTGTCCTGAGGAAATTCACAGTTGGATCAGCCTGTGATCTGATTTTTCCACTTTGATTTTGGGTTATGATTCTGAATCCAGTCCTAAATGAGTTTTTGGTTTCCATGGATTGTTCTTACATTATTTTGTTCTCAATGAATTACACTGTGTAATCAATAAAGATTTTCATCTGGAATATTTCATTCATCGAGGTCTGGGATGTGTGATTTAAGTGTTCCCTTCATTTCTTTGAGTCGTGTATATACATACAGCCAGACTACATCACCATACAATCCAGTATACCTCATCTTTCAATATAATGTACAAACAGGTTCCTACAACAACATAGGGCTTATTAAACTAAGGAGGAAGCTGCATATTACTATTTAACTAGGCATGGCAGCTTAGAGCAAATGATGGAGCCCTTGATTAGCTACACTCAGACACTCAAACAGGAGACAGATATTAAATTCCTTGGACTAAATGTGTGTGGATTACGTGCTAAATTTCAATTTGGGATTCTTACGGAATACATTAAAGATTATGACTTTGTTTGTTTAACAGAGACCAAAACAGATAATATCTGTAAATCAGACTGTGATGGATTTACTTCTTTCGTGCTAGAAAAGAAGAAATCAAGTTATAAACATGGTGGTGTACATGGGGTATGTCTATTAGTTAAAAATGAGTTTGCAAATTATGTTCAGGAGATAAAAGACACTACTTCTGACGCCATCCTGTGGACTAAAGTGGCCAAAGCAGCTTTTGGGTTTGAATTCATCTTGGGAACAGAATATGTGCCACATGAAGGATCTATTTTTTTCAACAAGGACTATTTTGGAAATGTATCCCAAGATATTTCATTTATGAACAGTAAATACAGCTTACCAATAGTGATGTTGGGTGATTTCAATTCAAGAACTGGTACTCTGAGTGACTCTTTAAATGTTGGTGACGTAGGAACGAATATTAGAAATGGGCTGTCCTTTGATGGCGAAATGCTTTTAAATAGTGAAATAAATGATTTTTCTTTGATGGGTCTACAGAGGGTCAGTGAAGATCTAATGACTAATAATAATGGTCACAGTCTAATTGAATTATGTCAAAGTTCAGAGTTGAAGATTGTAAATGGAAGATTTGGGTCTGATAAAGGCATTGGGCGTTACACCTATTTTAATTATAATGGAAACAGCGTTATTGACTATGCCATAGTGTCAGCTTGTTTGTTAGCACAGATTATATATTTTTGTATTGAAACTTTGGATAAATGATTGTCAGATGTCCACTGACCTATTAGTATAACTATAAGAGCAAATAACCTTGGTACTCATAAGTGTGAAACTCTTACAGATACTGTTTATTATGATCCCGAAAAAGATACATGACCCATTTAATATTTAAACACCAATGGAAATCTGAGCTAAAAGCCACATACCAAGAAACCTTTAATTTAGAGGTTATAAAATGTATGATTCAATGATTGACGCGATTAATATTTCCAATACAAATCTGGTTGAAATAAATAACATTAGTAAAGGTTTATGTGACATTATGGTAGATCCTGCTAAAAGTTTGGGTTTATGTAAGGCATATGGTCAGGATCTGTACAAATTTGGTAGAACGTCAAAAAAAACTACAGAAGAGAAAACCCTGGTTTAATGCTGAATGTATTGAGGCCCGTAGAAAATATTTTAAATCCATGAACATATTCAAATTTAACCGCTCTGTCCAATCTAAAGTTGAAATAAAATGTGTAGCTAGAAAGTATAAATCCATCATAAGGAAAT